TAGGTCTGTAGGTTCATTTCAGGGTTTTCAATTCTATTCCATTGGTCCTGAGGTCTGTTCTTATGCCAATACCAAGCTGTTTTGATTACTATGACTTTATAGTAGAGTTTGAGATTTGATATTGATATTCCTCCAACAGTCAAACTTGGCAGATTTTAAAAATAACTTTATCATCAAGGCATTCCCTAAGGGCTGGACAAAATTTCCCAACATGACAGTTGTTATTAACCCAGTGCCAATAAGCTCTTCTGTTTTATAGTATTATTATTATCTCTTAGTAGTTTTACAAAAGAGCTAACAAAGCAGCTTATGAATTCAATATATCTTGATCAATGTCACTCCTTTCAACATTCTCACCCATCCCTCTCCTATATATCCCTTCCTTTACTCTACTTAATTTTGCAGGATATACATTGGATTTTTGACAGCATTTTCTACCTCTACTCTTCATCATTTGTCTACCCCTGTGCCCTTGATCCCACTCCACCCCAAGCCTTTCTTCCTTTTTTAATAAGTTTTTTTATTGTGAAAATACTGCACAGAGGGGTTACAATCACATGAGCAAGGTAATGAGTACATTTCTTATCAAGCAATGTTGCTTTTGTTTTTCCCCTCCCATCCCTCCCTCCCATCTCCACAACTACATACCCCCATCTCCACAACTACATCCCCCACCCCTAAGTTGTAAAGTTCACTTTTAACAATACTTAAAAAAAATTCTCATTCTAAGCTGGGCACTGGTGGCTGATGCCTGTAATCCCAGCTACTCAGGAGCCCAAGGACTAAGGATTGAGGTTCAAAGCCAGCCCAGGCAACAAAGTACTTCTGACCCTGATCTCTAATTAACCAGGAGTGGAGCTGTGGCTCAAGAGGTAGAGTAATATCCTTGAGTATGAATTGCTCAGGGATAATGCCTAGGCTTTGACTTAAAGCCCCCATTCTGGCACACACAAGAAATTCTAACTCTATCTTCAAACCTTTTGTATTAACAGTTAAAACTGACATTTAATATTTTTTGAATAATGCTTATTTGTATTTAAAAGAAGTTGTACATACTTTTTAATTGGAGTAGTTGAAATAAACTAATTTCTCAAAAGTATCCATTGGGGGTAGAGCTGTGTGGTAAGCAAGTGGTGGCTCTGTAAGGTCAACCGGCACTGGGAAATTTGGCCCAGGGTACAGAGCCCGAGGTGGCTGAAAGCCTTTGGTGGGAGTTTGGGTGGAGTGGAGAGTGGGGGCAGTAATCGGTATGAATCACTTATAAATATCACCCCAGCAGGACCCCAAGCCTAAGTTCCAGCAGGGTAAGCGAGTGCCCTGATTTCATAGACATCTCATTTATGAACAAAGTGTGCTAAGGTTGTCATAAAGGGCAAGGAAGTGAATCGCTTTATGCGTTACAGTGGTTGGAGTAAGAATTTGGATGAGTGGGTTCCTGATAGCAGGGTACTGGTGTACTGGACACCAATCTGCAGAAACCACTTGAACTACAAAAGGAGCAGTATGCGCAGGGGAAGATGAGAGGGGGCCCGGAAAGAAGACATGCAGCCTGCAGCAGATGAGCATTGAAGTGAAAACCAAAAAGGAACAAGCAGAAAACATCTGACAATGGAAATGGTGACTGTACCCGTGAGACACTCCAGCGTCCTCGGAAGAACAGGGCCCCGCGTGGATCCTATTGTTGAAAACCATGAACTGTTTATGCACAGCGTGGAAGTTAAAGTGAAGATTGAGGAAGAGCTTAAATCATGGCTTTTGATCATTGCGACTTAATTACCAGACAGAAACAGCTCTTTTATTTTCCTGCCAATTAGAACATGGATTCCATTCTGGAAGATCATGCAAAATTAAAGAAATCTGGAGAAAACACAGATAAGGAGTACCCTGTGAATGAAGTTGTGGCCGGGATTAAAGAGGACTTTGATGTGATGGTGGGCACCTGACTGCTCTACAAGTTTGAGAGGCCTCAGTAAGCACAGATTCTCACTGCAGGGACCACCCTGACACGCCCATGTCCCACCAGTGGGTTGCACCCCTCTCTTGCGACTGTTGGCTCGCCTTGGAGCAATGATGGGCAACACCCTGCTGGATGAGAAGCGCCTGGCCCTGTTACTGACCTCTCTTCACGATTTCCTCAAGGCCCTGGCCACTAATTCCGGGATCCTCTTTAGTGCCAGCGACTACGAGGACCACTGGAAGGTCGAGTGAGCACTCACTTGGGATCTGTGATGGAACACGTCCTTGTAAATGCGCACAGGAGTGGGAAGCGCGTGACATGTCCTCCTCCACCTCTTGTTCAGATGGTGCACTTTGAAGATGGTGGCGTGCTACAGAATTGCACATTGTGTCATTCATTTTAAGCAGAGAAAATAAAAGGGGTCACCACTGCTTTTCCTCTTCTTCTTTCCTTCATTTCCAAGTCGCTACTAGTGAACCCAGTGACAGACAAGAGACAGCTATCGCGTTGTGGCCTAGGTGACAAATCGACTTCCATGCTGGTGATCTCTTCCTCTGACATGACTCTCTTTGATAATGCATCCCTGTTAACGCCACATCACCAAGCTGACCCAGTGCCAAAATTCTGATGGTGTGTAGATTCGCGCCATCCCTGTGATGTTCAGTTTGGAATCATGGCGCTTCACCCATAGACCCTTCCCCAAGACCCTGGTAGGTTCCTACACATTCCATCTGCTCAGTGGAGGAAGATTGGTGGATTGCTTCATGTGTTTTATATTTTGTGTCCAATTCAAGTTTAACATGATGGATGCAAAGCACTGTGTAGCTACTGTTTGGGGGAAAAGGCAAATCTTTTTTTTTTTTAAGTCAAATCTTTGATGAGTTGTTTTTAAGATCCTCAATAAAAATTTTTCTTTTAAAAAAGGTAACTATTAGACTTTTAAAGAGATAAGATGAGGCAAATTACAATAAATAATTTAAGGTAGAAATGGACACAAGTAAACTGCTTCCAATATGAACCCAGAGGGAAAAAATACAATAATAAATTCTTAAAATCAGAGTTAGCATAAACTTTATTAAAAATGTGCAATTAAGAAATTTTCACAATATGATCACATACTAAATTTTCATTAATATTAATAATTATATGTCATTTATTATAAAGTCCATGAAATGTAGATATTGTCATTACAGACCTTCGGCAATAGTTTATATTAAAATATTCTACTATCTAGCCTGTGGAAAATGTTCAACTTGATAATCGCTTCAATTCTTCTAAAAGGTTTACTTCAAAGAGAGGACTTATCTGTGTCTAAATTCTTAGGAATCAAGCATACTATGACTTGACATTTAAGATATTGAATAACATTTTCTCTACCTAACAGGTTTTATGGAGATATGAGGGCCCCAAACCAGAAACCTTAGGATCCAACACGCGGCTGTACAAGTGGATCCCTCAGAATGACCTGCTTGGTAAAACTAAGGAAACTAAAGAGTAAAAATGTGAACACAAAAAAACACCTAGCACACCATGAAGATAATAGTCCAATAAGTAACAAATGTATGGAATATTAATTATCTCAAACTTGAACACTAACTTTTCTTCATATTTTTAGTATGAATAAATTACAGAGTTGTCATGTTAGGGTACACAGTCACATTCTCTCTGGGTAGAGAGGCACTCTCTGAATGGCCCTTCATCTCCTATGTTAGCTTTTCTTATTTTCCAACTGCAGATGTATTTCAAATGTCATTGAGAATAACTGCTTCTCTTGTATTGGTAGGGGCTCTGCATTTCTCATAGTGATAAATATCCAAATATTATTCAATGACATGCAGCCTGTATTTCTATGGATACCACAGTCACTGAATTCCAGCATGCCCTCCATATCACATGCCACAATCTTACTAGGTCTTCAGGAGAACATGCTGCACTTGTCTCCAGACTTTCCTTCATTTAAACCCACTGTATCTTTCGTAAAAATGTTTTAGTAACATTATTTTGGTTTTGTTATCCTTTTCTCAATATTGTTTTCATTTTTCAAATCTCAAGACAAACAAAATGCTTTCACGGAGTCATCACTAGTCTCTCCAGTGAGCCTAAGTGCTTGTTGCTCTGAGGTTTAAAATTCAATGGAGTTTCATGACTAAGGTGCATGCAATGTAGAGAGCACTCACATTGAACATACTGTATCTCATTTAATTCCTAAAGCATACCTGATCACTGTGGAAATTTCCCCAAATGCAGGTCATCCCAAAACCAAGGCCTTCATCACTCACGGTGGAACCAATGGTGTCTATGAGGCCATCTACCACGGAGTCCCAATGGTGGGCATTCCTTTGTTTGTGGATCAACCTGATAACATTGCTCGGATGAAGGCCAAGGGAGCAGCTGTTAGACTGGACTTTACCAGGTTTTCAAGTGAAGAGCTTATCAATGCCTTGAAGACAGTCATTAACAACCCATTGTGAGTTTAACTACCCTTTCATTGGACCCGATTTAGAGAAGGATTCTTCTCATCAGTGACAATGCATCTCACCTGCTTTCTCATGAGGCTTATTACTTAATATTTAAGTGAGCTTCTCTGTGATCTATGTCTTTTTTTTTTTGTATTGTCCTGGGGCATGAATTCAGGCCCTGGTTGCTGTCCCTGAAATTCTACACCCAAGGTTAGCACTCTACCGCTTTGAGCTACTTTTGGTTTTCTGGCTAATTGGAGAAAAGTCTCAGGAACTTTTCTTCCCAGACTGGCTTTGAACTGTGATCCTCATATCTCAGCCTCCTGAATAGCTAGAACTTCAGGCATGAGCAATAAGCTTGCTAGTGTGCTTTTTATTTTCAACAACAAAGTAATTTAAGTCTTTGTACTTTAACTCACAGATTAATTAGGTAAGCAATTACTGAAAACATTTCTACATATGCAAATAATGCTGAAGATAATAGATATATAACTATTTGCAATGACTCTATTTTCAAAATATGCTTAAATTTTATAAAAATGATAAACTCGAAAACAAAAGAAATTGTTTAATCAAATATCTAAAATATCTCATTCTAATCATTTTTATTTTTAGCCTTTGCTAGAGTTTAAACTCAGGGCCTATGCACTGTCATTGAGCTTTTTTTACTTAAGGGTATCACTCTACCACTTGAGCTACAACTACACTTCTGGCTTTATTGGTGGGTAATTGGAGAAAGAGTCTTAGGGACTTTCCTGAATGGGGTGGCTTTGAACCAACATCCTCAGATCTCAGCCTCCTGAGCAGCAGAGGTTATCTATGTGAGCTATGAAAATCTGGCTTCAATCAAATAATCATTTGCCAAAAACTCATTTTATTAAGGCTATGTTTACAGATTTAATTGCCTATAATAGATATCATAAAAGTAACAGGTTTAATTTAGAAAATTCAAATATATGATATATATTTTGCACATACATAATATTATATATATATATATATATTCTATCTTCACTATCATGAAATTTAGTTGGTTTTCCAGAGCTTTAAACTAACAACAGTACACTCACTAGAGAGGTGCTCTACCATTTGAGTCATAGCACAGAACAGCTAGAAGGGCCAATCATAGCATGGAATGGAAAGGGCAGTTCAACTAATTGAACATTATAATTTTGTTGGTACTAGGGTTTGAGCTCTAGGTTGTCAGGTAAGTACCCTATTATCCAAGTTCTATGAAGCTTTTATAATTTTGTCTAATAAACAGTGGGATATGGCCTTATACTCATTTCCCATGTTTAGGGTTGCTATGCTAATAGGATAACTAAAAGCTCCCTGACTGTTGGCCTTAAACTGACTCCCTCAGTAATAAGATAAAAGCAAACTTCATGATATAGAAGGGAAGAATTATAAGGAAAAAGAGAGAGAAAATTAAATGTCAAAAAGAAAACCATTGACTACATGGTATGGGCAGAGGTGAATGACGAGAAAAAAATTGACAGTCTCACAGCCTTAAAGTTATCAAGTTCCACAATAGAAATAGATACTTTTGAGTACAAGAGATTGTAACGAAAATAATCATATTATTTGAGACTTTCTGTAAAACGAATTGTAGCTTTGAGGCTAAAAATTAAAACAATAAAAGGCAGAAGAGGGGAAAGAGATATTTAGAAGCAATCATTTCACCTACTAGGGTAAGAGAGATCTTCAAAAATTCCATAACTTCTCAAATAAATATTGCTCATTTAAGAGTATCCATTTCAAATGCAAATACTGTGTATAGGCAAATGAAAATAAAACACTAAGGTAGGTACATTTGATTTCATTTGCATTATTTCTATGGCAGTTTAGAAGAACTTTTTGGCTTAATATAGTAATCAACATTAAATTCTTTTAAGGTAGGTGTCTCTGTGTTTTCCTTTTAGCTATAAAGAGAATGCAATGAAGTTATCAAGAATTCACCATGATCAGCCAGTGAAGCCTCTGGATCGAGCTGTCTTCTGGGTGGAGTTTGTCATGCGCCACAAAGGAGCCAAACACCTTCGCCCAGCTGTCCATGACCTCAACTGGTTCCAGTACCACTCTCTGGATGTGATTGGCTTCCTGCTGGCCTGTGTGGCAACTGCCATCTTCATCTTCACAAGATGTTGCCTTTTTTGTTGCCGGAAGTTTCCTAAAAGTAGAAAAAAGAAAAGAGAGTAATTGGAAGCTGGTAGCTCTGTTAATTATTCCAGCAAGACAAATTTTAATAGATAAAGATATTTTCTACTTCCTCATTACAAGCTTCTTCTTTCTCTCTGTTTTGTATTCAGTATTAATGAAGCAGCCCTGTGTCACTATGGTTGCTCACCATGAGGTTCTAACTCCACACAAATTCACAGGGATGTGATCAAGTAACCATAGACTGAATTATCTGAAATTATGAAGCTCAATAAATTTTTCATTCCTTCTACATCTAAGATATATATGATTAACATATATGGTTAACATATTTAATATATGGTTAACACATATAATACATAATGTATATGATTAACATACTATCTCATAGAAGGTTGTGGTGTGTCATAATTATATCCAGAGGAATTTAAGTATTATACAATTACAAAGAGTTTATTATTATACTTTTCTTATACTTAGCACAATTGTCATTATTTAATTCTATTGTAATAATTATAATAGATCAGCTTATATTATATAATATTCTATATTGTATGTATTATATTTGTGTTCTTCTTATTGTGAACATCCCTTTTTTTTCTTCTTATTTGCTCTTTTCCTGAAAAGAGTATGGTTGCATCTTTCTAATTTTGCTAATGAAGACACAGAAAATTTTGGGCAAGAATATTTTTTAAAGATAAGGTCATTTTTATCCTAATCTAAACACAGCTGCCTGACCTTGATCAGTAACAAAAAAAAGGAAAAAAAGACACATGTAAAACTTCTAATTTCTGACATGTGGGATATGCTTAAATAAAATCATAGGAATCTCCAGGCCATCCTGAATCTTTCATGTTTAGGAAGCATTTTTTCACCATCAACACAGTCCAGATTGAAGGAAAGTTAACTGCTTTTTCAGGTAAGAAAGACATGATCTGCGACCTAAAACTATTCTCCAGCCTTGAGTATGAATTTATTCAAACAATAAATTAAAGCACTGATTCTAGCAGAACTAGTTTGGTTCACCACGAAAATGTCAAAAAAAAACTTATGTAGATAATTGACACAGCTGAAGAGAAAAATAGAATAAGTACAGTGCAAAATAAAACAAAAACATTAAATCATGCATAGAAGAGAGAAATACTTTCAGTTCAACTTCTTTTGATACATCTGTTAAAACATGGATTATTTTTCACTTGAGCCCAAGTGCAAATTACCAACCAAACCTAGAGGCAATCTGATATGAAAATTGATGAAGGATATTAAAGGATAATGAAAGAAACAAAAAGGAACAAGAACATAAAAAATAGATGATCATAATCACTGATACATTTTTTTGTCAGTTGTGGGGCCTGAACTCTGGGCCTGGGCGCTGTCCCTCAGCTCTTCAGCTCAAGGCTAGCACTCTACCACTTGAGCCACAGCACCACTTCTAGCTTTTTCTGCTTATGTGGTGCTGAGGAATCAAACCCAGGGCCTCATGCATGCTAGACAAGCACTCTCCCACTGAGCCACCTTCCCAGCCCCAATTATTGATATGTTGAACTTCATTACTTTAATTGAGCCTTCCTCTGAATGTATTTAGACACTGAGAAAATAATGTATTTCAAGTTCACAATATACCTTCACAAAAGTATATTCAATTGAATTCTTGTCTCCTATATATATATCATAAATGTGTATTAATTTTGAAGAACATAATAAATTCCAGGGTGAAAGTATTAAAATTGTACAGTGGTGAAATCTCTGAAAGGTATATATGGGTTAACTTAATATACTTCTTATACATTTAATTTTTCTTAAACTGAGTTTGTTTTCTATTCATAAGGATAAACCAGATGGGGAAAAGCTATCCACATTATTGATAAGTATGCAGAGGTGGTAGAACTCTACTGTGCAGAGACATATCAAATGCAGCATCAATAGAGGAATAGTTTTAGTCAGTGAGGCAATAAAAGCACTGATCACAAGTTACTTTCAATGCTGGTACAGGTCATTAGGCTAGCTCAACATCTTCAAGAATCACATTGCTTTGGGAGACATAGCAGTAACATAGTAATCTTTTTACAAACTAATTCCATCACATTACATCCTATTTGAAGAGTGTTATAGACAGAAATATAGAGTCTGTCTTGTCTTATTTGGAATTTTTATCTCTACAATTTTTTACAAAATTCTTTCAAATATGAACTTTACAACATTGACTAGCATTATAAAGTATACATTTAAGGTTCAAAAGTTTGGTCATGATTTCATAGATAAAGAATAATTAATATCAAAGGTGATGGTAATTGTCTCAATAATTGATAATTGCAACTTTCAAAATGCCAAAAAAGTTTTGCCTCCCCTAAATTTCTCTTTAGTTGGAAGAGTACTATAGTTTGCATCTTGTATGTTCCTTTAAAGACCTCTGTGCTGAAAACTCACTGACTTTGTAGCACTATTGGTTTGTAGCTTAACTTGAAGGAAGAGAGGCACAGAGCAAAACAGTTATAACACAAGAAATGTGGCCCTGAGGGGGATATTGGAAACCCATGTCCTTCACACTACGTTCCTTTAGGTTTCCTGAGGGCCTGGCTATGGTGCATACTCCCAATATGATATACTCCCTCACTACAGCCCATACCCCACCCCAAAAATAGAATTATGAAGCAAAATAGAGTCATGCCATGTCACCAGAACCATGCAACATGACTGTGGAGTGAAACCTCCAAAACTGTGAACCAAATAAATCGTCCCCACGCATAAACTAATTACCTCAAGTATTTTGTTATAATAACACAAAACTTACACATAATGGGAGGAGTAATAGAGCAATAAAGAACAATAATTGCTATACTAGCAATTCAACATCCAAAGTGGTATGCACTGAGGACCCAGAATGAGAATAATTCTCAAACCATTCCAAGCAAGCACACTTGGCCAGGGATTTTCAAAATGATGTGATTTAATCAAGGGTTTGCCCACATCTCTACTGGTAAAAGCTCTGCTGAACTTTTCCCATTGTTGTATTAGAATCCCTTGTAATACACAGAAAGGTAATAACAAGGTGGCCTCCCAGGCAGTTATACACAGCATATTCTTCTGGACCATTAACTTTGTATGAGGATAATTGGCACGTTCAATAATTTAAAAAACAGAATCATTTAAGCATGTAAATATACATGTAAACATCTGGATTATAAACAGGACACTGTGGTCTATTTCAATGAAATACTAAATTCTAGCACTATAAGCCAGAAAAAATATCAGCATTTCTTTTTTTTTTAATTGTGAAAATACTGTACAGAGGGGTTACAATTACATGGGCAAGATAATGAGTACATTTCTTATCAAGCATTGCAGCCTCCTCCTTTGTTTACCCT